CCTCAAACACACAGCAGACTTTTAAGTGTTTTTCACGCTTTGTTTTATTTACAGGAAGCAAACTGAGGAAATGTTACGTGCAGCTCGTGAAGTGCAAGTGAGGAACAAAGATCATTTCTTAGCAGTGCAAGCTGCCAGAGACAGGGCTGAGTTTGAGAGAGTGTTAATGTAAGTCATGTTTACTTTTAAGTTTTTTGCTTCAAGTGTCTTCAAGTGCCTCTTGTGTCAGTCTACGTCACGTGAAAGCCCGCAAAAAGTTTCCGAATTAGACAAGCCAATTAGAAACTAGTACCAGTACTCGGAAAGGCCCGAAGGTTGCTAACGAGGGTTATGTAAAATACTCGTTACATTCGCGGAAGGAACTTTCCTCCTTAAATGCAGCGGTGGTCTTATCCCTGTTGTTTTCCTATTATTAAAACGGAATAATAAATATCTACAGGGTGCAAGAGGAGCAACAGCTGAAAGACGAAGACGCTGAAAAAGTAGATGCAGTCCGCCGCCATCAACATGCGGCAGAAGTGCGCCAACAGGTTCGCGAGAAAGAGAAAGATCGCATTAAGGCCAGGAATGCTTTCTTTGAGGAAGGAATTAAATTGGACCAAGAAGCTCGAGCAAGGTAGGTTTATGTCGATTAAAAACCATTGGAAATCATCCACTATAGAGTAGGACCTTAAGTGGCAGTTACCGTGTTTTATTGCTGAAAGATGTTCTACCAATGAGAATGAGACTGATAATGATTTGACCAATCAAGTGTCAAATATAACAAATAAAAAACACGGGATTTTGCCGACGCGCTTTCTTTCCTTGTATTAAAATGGTTCGTAATCACTTTAGAAAACAGTGGCACGAAGCCTGCTGAGTTTTCCACAATGATTACTAACATATGTGTATACTTCTAGGCGGCAGAAATTGGACGAAATAAAAAGAAGAAAGTTGCAGGAGTTGAAAGACGCTGGTGTTCCGGACAAGTATTGTAACGAAGTCGCGCGAAGGATCGAGGCTCCACCTCCGTCACTATCCCGGATGTACTAAAACTTCAACTGAACTTGCCAGAAAAATTATTTCTTTTCTCCTGAATTTAAAGACAATTAAACGATGGTCTTGACATTAACATTAAAAATGCAGAGGCTCTCTCGTTTTGAGGTTTAGATTAAGATTTTGGATGTTAATCTGATCGCAAGATGTCTTTTCTCATAGTGACTGAAGAGCTTCCTTTATTGATCACTTTGTTCTTACAGTGTAAATATATTCAGTTTTTAATACCATGTGTACAAAGAGTATTCTATCGAACAATTAACTAATAGACATGATGAAAAGTGTTTCTTTATTTGACAAATCGATTTTACTTGTTAACAAAGAAACATTTAAGCTCCCTGGATAGAAGCCTACCTAATGTCTTTGTCAAAAAAAAAATATATTAACTCGTTGTTTGTTTTCACCATTTTTTTTCTTGTTATTGATTTTGTTTTGGGGTATTTATACCATGTTTTGTGCTGAATCTTTTAAAATTCTGTTGAAAATGAAAATTCTGAAGTTATTTTATTTGTTTGATTTTTTTTTTTTTTCTGTTTGTGTCCAATTTCCAACAAGTATTTAACGCTATAACTCCCAAGATCTGATTGTTAATTTTCCCCTCTACACTCTTCTCTGTAAACTAGTTTCGAGAATTATGTGTTAGACCAAGGTAACAACTTCTTAGTTTCTCCTTTCCGTCAATTTTAGATCTAATTACAAGGAAACTTTCCTCCTTTTCTTTGATTGATATGTTTCTAGTCAGACATTTGGCTTATAAGTGACGTGGATTCTTCAATGTCTCTTTCCTCCACAGGAAGCGCCACGTCACAGATTGCTTGTAGCTTATAAGTTATACGATCTGAAAGGAAGAGTGAAAAAGCGCGTGGATCAGAGAGAATCGTAAATAGTTGAGACTAGAGACCTCTTGTCTGTCTTCTGATTCCCCTCCGTTCCCCTGAAAACCACGTGACTCCCCCCTCCCCACCCTCAGGAAAAACCCTCTACACATCCTCCCCAGGCGACAATGAACGGTCCCGGCCTACGACGCTTAACGGGTTATTAGCTTCTCATCAAATTAACATGTGTAGCATAGGTTCAGTGAGAACACAAGAATCGACGAGAACTTGACGCGCGTGACTTCTCACTCCCATTCGCACACAGCCCCTCGCGTCCGGTCGTCCGGTCAAATCATGTGTCTGTAACGCACGCCTTGAACAATCGAGTTTTTTTTTGTCGAAATCAATATTGTTATTTTGAAAGATTTATATCGAAGGTGTAAGCCTAAGATTCCACATAACTTCTCAAGATGGGCAATAACAATCACACAAATTGCGTCTCGAGTTGAATTGTAAGGAATCTAATGAGCGGGTTGTGTCGAAAAGATTCATCAGTTTTTAAAACGATACATAAATACTTACCAACAAAGAGAAGGAAATGCCGTGGAACCACTTTATATCGAACAAACACCAAGTAAAATGGAATTGCAGCAAAAACAAACAGGATACAATAAAATGATTGTAACGGTGCCGCATAAAAGGGCGCAATTACTAGGTATGCTGAAACCACAACCATGAATATGGGAATTCCTAACCATACCTACAAGGAAATGAGGAGAAAGCTGAATATATGATTATATACCAAGTTAAAGGCCAGCAAGAAAAATTTTACTGGCGATCATCTGACGGCCAATCTGCGGAAAGGAAAATGTTACGAGGAGCCAATGAGGACGCAGAGTGGAAGCAAGAAAACTGCATGAAGCGCGGGAAGAAAGCACGAGGTCGGAACAAGTCGCGATTTGATTGGTCAAAAGGGTAGTGAGAGTTTTCTGAACCAATTACGTAGCGAAGTTAAAGCAAAGCCTAAGCAATCTCAATCCTTACTTGCGGCAATCGATTGAAAACTTCACTGTAACAAAGCAATGATATACGTATGATGCATGATCCTCGCAGTAGAGAGCGCTATTTATGCAATAGCGAAAATCAGACCTGAAAAAAATCAGGCCTGTACGGGATTCGAACCACTGACCTCTGCGATACTAGTGCAGCGCTCTACCAATTGAGCTAACAAGCCAACTGGGAGCAGGCCGTTAAGTTGATTCGTAATAAACCCGTGATGATAAATCAGATACAATGAATATATGAAGTTCATATATTTTGAACTGCGGTTGTAGATACGTATGATGCATGATCCTCGCAGTAGAGAGCTCTATTTATGCAATAGCGAAAATCAGACCTGAAAAAAATCAGGCCTGTACGGGATTCGAACCACTGACCTCTGCGATACTAGTGCAGCGCTCTACCAATTGAGC